TGTTTTATCTTAACTTTCACCTCTCTATGTGACATTGACTAAGTCACTTTGGTAACAGGGACCTGGATTATGTGCGCAATACTTAGCCTCACGATTGTGAAAGTTATTTGTGCAAAGTTACATTTAAATCACCGGATGAATGTAGACGTTTTGCTCCGAACAAGCAGTTTTCAATGACTTTAAAGTGTGACCTTAACCTTTTACCTAGACACCTGGTTCATGCACGTGACACTGTTTCTAAAAGTGGCGAACATTCTTGAAGTTTCATTAGAATCCCATCATGCATGAGATATGCTTTGGACAAAATCTTTATATTTAATCATCTTTAGTGACCTAGCATATATTTAAAAAAATCTAAATTACATGTCTAGCTGTAGTCATGATAATGACCATTTGTGTTTCAAAATGGTCCAAATACACATTTTCATATCTTCATCTGAACTTTGACCCCTATTGTGACATTGACCGCAGGGACCTGAATTTTGCACGCGACAATTTGCCTTACTATATTGAACATTTGTGCCAATTTTTATTGAAATTCCTCTATGCATGCAACCGTTGTTTTTTTCGGACAAGCGTTTTTCAATGACCTCAAAGTGTGACCTTGACCTTTGACCTAGAGACCTGGTAGTAGTGAATATTTCAATGCAGTTTCATTAAAATCCTTCCATGCGTGTAGGAGATATGCTCTGGACAAAATCTCTATATTTTATCATCTATAGTCACCTTGAACTTGCATATATTTTTTTAACTGAATTACATTGTTTCACATCCGTAATCATGATAATGGCTATTTGTGTTTCAATCCCTCAATAAATGATGACTAAATGGTCCAAATACACATTTTCATATCTTTATCTGAACTTTGACCCAAATGTGAGACCTTGACTGCAGCGGCCTGAATTTTGCACGCGACAGTTTGACATTTGTGCTAAGTTATATTGAAATCCCTTTATGCATGTAGAAGTGTTGCTCCAGATAAGCGTTTTTCAATGACCTCTAAGTGTGACCTTGACCTTTGACCTAGAGACCTGGTTAATGCACGCGACACAGCTTTTCATAGTGGTAAACATTTCTATGACGTTTCATTAAAATTCCTCCATGCCTGTAGGAGATATGCTCCGGACAAATATTGGACGCCGTCCGCCCGCTGGCCAGACCGCCCGCCAGGGCGGAGGGGAACTATAATACGACCCGTTTTTTCAAAAGGATGGCACAGTTATATAACTTGCCAATATCATGTACTTTGTGTTGATAAGTAATTATAAAGCCGTTAGTATAGAACTTAAGATACATCCAACTTGCCGGTACCATTTTTAAAGTGCTTAAAGGGCAAAAACTTTGAATAAATTGGAGCCATAGTTATGTAACTTGTCCAGATCATGTACTTTGTATTGTTTAGTAAGTGTGTAAATAATGAATACATTGTTACAGGCAAAACTTAAGAAAAATCCAACTTGTCGTTAAGAATGGTTAACCTGTTCAATCGGGTGGTTCAATTACTATATGCTCGGGTTTGATGTTTGATTTCCTTAAAATGGACTTGCAGTCTGGGTATTGCGAAATTGACTTGCATCTTCAAGTCTGGATGTTTAGGTAATGCACAAACAAGCGGGGATGGGGCGAATGAGGGCTTGGGGTGGAGATATTAAGTATTGCGTACATTTATCCTCACATAATTTAATAAGACTTGTACTATCACTATAAGGACATTTAATAACTCTTTATATACTTATGATTTTGAAGTGACATGAAAGTGTGCGACTCAAGTAGGATTGTAACACCTAAGTTGACAACTTTATCTACATATTTATATTTATATATATTTATATTCATATATATTTCTTGTTTATTTTCTAGAGCAAACACTGATTTAAAGTTGTCACAGGATGGGAAAATGTGCAGTCTGACAGGGACTCAAACCCTGGACCCTCGGAATACCGTTCCGTGGCTCTACCAATTGAGTAAGCTGTCCACTTACATATCTTCTCCCTGAAACGGTGAACAGTTCTGAACCATAACACTCAGCAATATTGAAATTCGTCCTCGAATTTCTCAGGGTTTCCGGGCAATGTGAATTAAACTCTGAGCTTTATGCAGTCACGGTCCCCCGTTGGGCGCCAAATATCACAGGTTGAAAAAAAAAACTATTTCATTTTTTCTATTTTATTTTATATTATAGTCTCATTAATGTGATACATTATATACAATATATCATAAATAAAAAGCATTTTAAAGCATAATTAAAACACACATTGTCACTCTCTACAGAGTTATAGGAGACTTTGAATATGTTAATATCATATGATACAAGTAAAATAATTATTGCACAATGGAGTATTAAAATTCAAACTTAATCTACATCTTGAGCATAGTACTACATACTACATACTAGTACTTCTATTTTAGTAATCATTTGACCAAAGTAAGGATTATTATTTATGTATATCATCAAGGTAGCGGGAAGTGCGTTAATAATATTACATGTATAACTTCCTTTTGTGAATTAGGAGAAAGACTTAGCATAAAATCCCTCTCGTTACAATATAAAGATAAATCAGCTATCAGCGGCGCAATTGGTTCACATTGGAATGCCTGTTATCTGTTTGAAAACTGTAAAATCAAATATCAAGTGATCCATAGGAAGCATTATAAACAGCAAAATCACATGAAAATTGCAGACTCGGTTTGATTGAGTGTGAACATGAGGGATAATGAAAAAGTGCAATATCCCTCACGCCCCCTGGCACCGTCTTGAGCGCAACTCAATTCTAAACACTTAAAAATACTGGACTCAATGATCCCAAAGGACCAGAAAAAATATAACAACACTGAACAATGAAGTGAAGTACGGGACAACTTTTCACGGCTGCCACACATCACTTGACACCTGCTGTTGTGATATATATTAATATCTGGAAAAAGTGATCCCTCGGAAGCATTAAAAACAGCAAAGTTACATGAAAATTCAGACTCCACTTGATTGAGGATGTACATGACGGAAAATGAAAAGTGACGTAAATGTTATCTCACCTGACATAAATGTTATCTTATAAAAACAATGTGCTTTACAAACGTCGTCACCTGTCTATATTGTATTTTGTTTAATGATACATTTCGTAAAGAAAACCTTCCTTGAATTACAAGCAAGAAAAGTAACGTTTTCTCTTGCAAATGTTTTTTTTGAATAATTTTAAAGATAATAATTGATCGTTGATAAGCTTATGTTGCAATGTAGTATATAACGTAGAGAAATCGAAAGAACTAACAGATAAAGCTTCATAATTCTTAATTTTAAACAGACCAGAAAAGATGTTTGCCGTATTTTCATAAACTGTTTCACAACATCTTATGACATGTGGCTCAATGGCAGTCAGACAATAAAAACAAGAATAAAGATCAACAAGGCATCGTTCACGCGACGACACCATTTAGCCGAAAAGTCTGATCGATTCAGCTATCTGACTTCGATAAGCAATAAAATCAATATGGGATGGAATTCTATACTTAGGTCCTTTAAGAAATAAATTACGGATTATCTTGTCGTTTATTATATAAAAATTACAAGTGATAATACGGCCAAAATCCAAATTACAATATTTAGAACTTTTGCAGTCTAACATATTAGACTCTACGTCTAAGCCGGAAACAATTTTGTTATAAATGAATATAACAGGTGATTTATATTTATAGCAAATAATTGGAATCTAAGATTTTGAAATATTTAAGAATCGAGTCAGTATCGCGTTTATCACGAAAAATACTTGGCAAATAGTCAGACAATAGTAAGTTGAATAATCTTTTACTGTTAATTTATGTATATTTATTTAAAAATCTAAATTAAATGTAACTTTAATAAATGTGGTTGTTTTCAGTGCAACAAAAGTTACTTTTGTGTTTGTGAAGTAACTTGCAATTTTTAATGAATGAGAAATAGATCATTTTTATGATCAAATTTGTGTGTCAATTTTTTACGACACATTTAAACATTACCAAATTTCAAGATTTAGTTTGAAAACAATTTAACAAAGAGATAAGCTAAAAAGTATAAAATATGAAAAACATTTTGATACAGATTGTCTTTGTTGTCTATATAGAACGGTAAAGAAAATGCATAACACTATCATCCAATACAGTTTAAACTAGAAAATACAATATCAAGCGATAAAATCACCGATTGGGATATATTATTTCGAATATAACTCGACATCAACAAATAAATGCTGCCGTAACTGAAAATAAGCTAAATTGCGCCTGATTTGTTTCCGTACTTATTTTCAGCGCGTCGCAATTTTAGTGGTTACGTCAATGTATAATGATTACGTCACATGTCTAAATAAAGAACGTCAACAGTGATTTTGTTGCACTAGAACACACTATTTTGGTTCTTCTATATTCAATAGGGGAAAATGCGGGTCGTGTTAGAATTATTTATTTTAATTCGTCGTAGTTATCTTATCAAGTTTTTGTTCATTTCACTGTTATAAGTGGTAAAAGGCATACAGGTAGTAGGTTAGATAATTTATTAACATATTAAGCAAAAACCACGCATGTATTTAAACGGATAAAACATATACGCATTCTGGATGAAAAACAAATATAAAAAAAGTATACTTATAGTCTCTTCGACAACATGTTATCAATTATGTTATTGTTGATAATAATGATGACATGTTGTTGTTGTTGATGATGGTGATGTTGATGTTTCAATTATTTTAATAGGTCAGGTCCAACACTAGAGGAGTAATACAGATACATAATTTGCATCGTATCTGTGGGCGATTGCAAAACGAGTTATGGAAAAAAGAACACACAGAACGTAGTCGAAATATACTTTAGGACTTTACACCCACTTTATCCTCTGTAGATTAAGCTTATATGTACTACTCTTGGCATTACGGCTATATATGGAAATCCATTGTTGCAAAAGCTTAACTTATATTGATCTGGTACAAACAAAGTTAAATCGGTCTTATTTAAATTATATCTCTGTGTCTGTGAATAATACCTACAAACATAAGAAAAATCTTGTTGGATTTTTATACAATCTAGGATAATTATACAAATGGCTAACGGTAAAATTTCTTTCATTCATACATAAAATTTGTTTGATAATTCACAATTCAGTATACATTGAATATAATAGGGATTACATCTACATTCATTATACTATTATATTAAATGAAAGTTTAGATGAAGTTATTGTAGCCGATCTGTTTTCTTAAAAAATATTTTGAAAAGAATAAAAGAAGAATATAAGGTAAAATGTTGTTGAAACATACACTTTAATATTTTAAATCAACGTACGTATCTCGTGGTGTTGCATTAGCCAGTTACATTAAATAAATTTCATAAAAAAAGAAATAGCGACATTTCATTAATAAATTGGGTTTCATATCGACTCCAGATCCTATTTTGGTGTCCAGGCAACCAAAATGAGTTTAATGAACATACAAATGTGCAACCTCATTGTTGCGAATTCGGAAGTACAATTTCTGTTTGCATGAGAAACTCCGCCTTCAGATCATCCGTACATCAATATTAAATCAACAAACATGACTAAGTAGCAGTCCTAATTTAACGGTATATTTCCACATTGTAACGGATATTTTCATGCAAATTTAATCTGTTTTATGAGATGATTATTTTTTCTGAACCACAGGCCTAGTGCACCGTGAAGCTTTAACGGTAAAAGTGTGTTTGCACAAGAAAATATTATATTTGCTGTGTTCCGGATAGCAACTATAACTCCGTGACGTAGCGCATACACGAGCTGATTATAGTCCTCATTTGCATGTTAAAATTCGTATACGAACTTTAGTGTTACCGTGGGGTTTTCCATTTAAAATCCTAATTTATGAACAATATTTGATGAGATTTACAACGATACTGTTAAAAAGGTTAATGAAACTGTAGAATGCTTGGTTTTTAGGCCACCGGCAAAAATATTTTAACATATTTATTTAATGTAACTTTAATTGAACAATTTAGATACATGTAAGTAAACACAAAACTACTCGTAATTAGACGCTTACTGAACTGATAAATGTAATATTTATATAGGAATGTGACATTTTCTTTATAGACAATCCAAATCCGACTTGGCAATAAATGAGCCGCGTCACGACAAAACCAACATAGTGCGTTTGCGACCAGCATGGATCCAGACCAGCCTGCGCATCCGCGCAGTCTGATCAGGATCCATGCTGTTCGCTTACCAACTCTATTACAAGTGGAGAAACTGACAGCGAACAGCATGGATCCTGATCAGACTACGCGGATGTGCAGGCTGGTCTGGATCCATGCTGGTCGCAAACGCACTATGTTGGTTTTGTCGTGACGCGGCTCAAATGTTGATTTCAAAGACAATCGTATGCGTTCTAAAATCATTTACAAGTAGAGTTATATAGATAGGTAAACTGTATGTTTAACAAAGGCATTATGCCCATCAGTATACTACGGAAGAGTATACTGACCCCTTATAAAATTTATATGCCTGTTTACAATAAGACAATACATGATTACATTATAGTTCGTAACGATTCTATAAAAGTTTATTAATATATATAGTTCATATTGTACGGAAGCTTATCAGGGCCTCCACTTATCTAAAAGTTTTACGTCATGTCAACTTGTTTCTTCTCGTTTTGACCATATACATTCCATGAAGACGTTATGATTAATACGTAATGCATAAAACATTCCGAGAAGACGTTATGATTTATACGTAATACGTAGAAGTTTTTAATCATTGCAAAAAAACTTTGTTGAATTACGTGAGCTATTTGTCAATGCGAGTAACGTCTTTGCGTCTTACTAAATATTTCAGCAAAGTCGTGAAATCAAGAAGTTTCGACAGGATTTTTGTCGAAGAGACAAAAGCTTCAAGCAAATCGAGAAAAATTCAGTTGCAATGCCTAAAAGCTTCTCATATTTGTCAGTTAATTTTATTAAGAAATGCAAAAACATCTTACCAATGCGAATAAAAATAAGTTGACTTGGCGCAAAACATCTCACCGACTGTAGGCCCTGATACGCTTCCGTAATATTGACCTTTTCTCTTCTTTGGCTACTACACTGTTTCTTAAGACCTTACTTTTATTGATGAGACATATGTTTTTTTCTTCTTTTCATTGTAATTCTACTTTTGAAAGCAGACGTTTCTTGAAGTAAACCGCTTTTATTTATTTGAAAAAGGTATGTTTTCGGGGCATTATTTGTTCGACAGGTACAGAGATAATATGAAATTATAAATTTTCAACTATCTTCGAAGAAACTATGCATATTTGTGATTTTAGGGTGTATAATAACAGATAAAAATCTTAAATATCTATTTTATATATCATATAACCTATCAATTATTTTAAAGATATGTGGTATACAAAGGCTTTTTTTCTTTAAGGCATATAAAATATATAACGCGGGTAGGTATACTCTTTTGTCGTAAACAGTAATAAAACAATCGTTATCTACAAAACACATCAATGGTATGATGTAAGCATGATACACATGCCTTAAGTCTATTACAAAGTAAATTCTAATTCATAATAACAGATGCTATATATATTATATACAAAATGAACATTGTACAGTGTGTACAGTACACTGTCTCTTTTATTAAAACACCAAAAAACAAACACCGCTTAACCTTTAACTATCCAAATATATACATGTGCTATATAATACATGTGGTAAATAATTCGATCCGATTACAGTGTGGATCAAAGAACTTAATACGACTGGTTAAAATGTACGATTGCCAAATAATTGAAATAATAATAAAAGAAACATTTAGTTTGTTAATCACACTATATAAAATATAAATCCCCTTACTTTTCACAAATTGCATACATTGTTTATAAACAGCTGGGATAGAATAGTAGGGGTATTAAATTTTCCCGTATTTTTAATTGCCAAGACTTCGGTAGGACTGGCGTATAAATTTCGAGACATCGTTCTTCCGACCTCTTTATTACTAAAGAATAAGCAATTTAGGCTTACTAAATATCTGTACATATTAAAACATTTTCAATTTGATACAAACTTTTCATCCATAGTTACAGAAATTGTAGGGAACTGAACTCTGGATTATTTGCATGAACCTTGAAATCGTTTAGTCGGCACGAAATTGAAACTCTTTTCAGAAAATACCTAAACTGTACTGTTTGTGTTTGTACATGCGAATATGGAAACTATAACTTCAATCCGATTTCAACGTTATGGTACTACATGTCTTGTGATTCTGTCACTATACACAAAGAAAACAGGAGCACCGCTAGGCGGAGAATTATATGCCGGAAATGTGTTAGTCTTGAATGAATAAACAAACAAAAAATGTGACTTCTGTAAAATAGCCATCTTTCATTGTATTTATGAAGGAAATACAATGTATACATAAATTAAAGAAATTGATACATAAACACATTAAAATAAAGTACTACCTCCTTCAAAAAGCAATATACCTTTAAAGCTGAAGAACCTTCATATATATAAAGTTGCTGTTTCCAATGCACCACCATCAAGTTGTTATCTTGTAAGTATAATTACGGATGGACGGAAAGACGCCAGGGGTATAACGTAATATAAGCAAATCTTTTAGGGAATATAATCAATGTATTCAATATAAGTAATTATCCTTTGAAGTGTGATAGTTGTAAAACTGTTAACAATATAAAGGTCATTTGACATTGAACTTTGACCTTGTGACCCAAATATAGATATGGGTCTTTTATTCTACATAGGCAATCATCCTATGAAGTTTGAACACTGTAAGCCATAAGGAACTTGTGTTATGCTCCATAAACAACAATTTTCAGTGATTAGGTCATTATGACCCTGACCTTTGACCTCATGACCCTAGAAAGGGGTCATGTATTGCACATGGCTGATCATCCTATAAAATTTTACAGCTGTAGGTTGATTACTACTTAAGTTATTGAGCGAAAACCATTTTCAGTTTTAAGGTTAAAGTGACCTTGCCCTTTGACCTTGTGACCCAAAAAATAAAAGGGGTCTTTTACTCAATATTGCCAATCATCCTATAAAGTTTGAACAGTGTCGGCCAAATTGAACCTTATGACCCTTAAATCATTAGGGACCATGTAATGGACATGGCTGTTCATCGTATAATTTCTACAGCTGTAGGTTGATAAATACTCAAGTTATTGCGCGGGAACTGTTTTCAGATTTAAGGTAAAAGTGACCTTGACCTTTGACCTTGTGACCCAAAATTCAATAGGGGTCTTTTACTGAATATGGACAATCATCCTATGAAGTTTGAATATTGTGGGCCAAATGGAACTTAAGCTATGCTCCGGAAACCGAATAGCTAACGAACGGAGGGGACGGACGGACAAACTGCCGGACATTATATGTCCGAAATTCTTTCAGGCATATAAAAAGGGTATTAAACTGTCAGGGACTGCATGTATGTGCGACTGTTCTTTTTTATACATGAACTTCCGATAACAGGGATAAAAACAAAGACTTTTAAGGCAACAATAATAACGCATTTTGTATTGATATTTTCCGTTCAAGATTATCATGTTTTCTTTATATGATGCTAAATTAACATTCCTCAGACCGATATTATTTTCTTAAATACATAACAATATTGACGTGCAATGAAATGTTACAGACGAGGGTCGCCAGCAGGCGTTAAAAAGATACCGGTTATTAACGGCGATGTTGGGACTCCTTGGTGCCAGTTTGCTAGCATTAGGTATAGCGGCTGTCGTCATTACAGGCTCTAACAGCACTGGGTTACCATACTTTCTCGGCGGATTCATAGTCGGAATAATGGTATTGACATTGAATGTTTTTTTCTCTCTTCTAAAGTATTTCAAATCAATGCTGACAAAATACTGATAGACCAGTGCAGATTTCCTTGCAAATAGTATCATAGTGTAAATACTGAATCAAAGGTCAATTCTAGATCGAAGTCAAATCTAATATATCACTAGAACATTAACATCTACACGTTATGAAACTGTATATAAATCCGTTTGTGCAATATGCATTTTTTTCCAGTGAAGAAAAATTTATTTATTTTAAACGGCTTGTTTTATAAATGATTCTGTGCATTTTTGTTTTCTTAATTCGAACTGTTTTTACAACCATTTTTTGTTTAAAACAACATCGAAACCATTTAAATCATACATGTATCCTAATAAAAATAATATTATTTTAACGAATCGCTAAATCTTTTATTTCAAATATGAAAATCATTGTTCTGACGTTACAGTGTATTAATTGTTTTTTTCTTCTTCTTCTAAGAATCTAGGTGCTACCGCAATTTGCACGTGCATATTACTTAAGGCTCCAGGTGCGGACACTTTCGAAAAACGACTAAGTGTAGGATGCGCAGTAAGTAATTATTTATCATTCATACAACTTGATATCAACATTAAGAAATGAGTCATGTCACGACAAAACCAACATTGTGCGTTTGCGACCAGCATGGATCCAGACCAGCCTGCGCATCTGCGCAGTCTGATCAGGATCCATGCTGTTCGCTTACAAACCCTATTACAAGTAGAGAAACTGATAGCGAACAGCATGGATCCTGATCAGACTGCGCGGATGCGCAGGCTGGTCTGGATCCATGCTGGTCGCAAACGCATTATGTTGGTTTTGTCATGACGCGGCTCAAATAACGTCCTTCAAGCGATTCCATTACATACGAAACGCATGAAATAAGAGACCGTGCACATACAAATAAAAAGCATAGAAGAGCGAGAAACTTTATAGTCAATAAAATTCTACTATTTAATGAAATTCATCCGCTTACTTTATTCCACTTGTTGTGGTTTATGTGTTATAAACCTGTACAATACGCAGATGCGTAAATGCAACAATGCACAAAAACGGCAATTATGTCCGTTGATTAAGCAATAACTAGCATTTTCATACTTGCGACTCCAAAAGGTATAACTGCCAGAGAATAGTTTGCCTCATCTGAATTTACGTTCCTTTTCAATTTCTCACAAATTGGTTTGATTATATTATTTATTTCGTACCATCGAAGTAAGTATTATATATGATTTTTACTTTTTCATTTTGAACATATTTATAGTAGTTTATTACGTTATTACGTTTGTGACCTTCTACGCTATAAATCAAAGGTGTGAATGAGTTGAACATTATGGCAGGTTATAAAGTCTTCAGCGTTTAAGCAAAACTTAGTATATTTCGACTTGACTTTTGTCACATTCTCAATTGGGTCACTACACTGAAGTAGTCTTTCAAGCAGATAAATAAGTGGAAAACATATTATTTTAAAATATTAAAGTAAATATTTATAATTCTGTTTCCAGATTCAGGGCCAATATTTTCTGGCAGCGTTTACAATCATGGGTTGTTTTATAGGCTCTATATTTGCTGGTGTTGGGGGAATCAGTAAAGGATTATCAACATATGACTATGATGATGATGATAAAGATGATGAAGAAGAGTTAATGAAAAAAAGACAGCTCCTGGCAACTCTCATTCTAGTTGGATGCATCTTGGGACTATTCGCGACAATATTCTCAATGTGTACGGTGTGTACTTATAGCTCCTACTTCGGTGTTGTCATGAAACGTAACAGACGCGGGAAAATGACGCTTATTAATACCGGTCAGTTACCAGGTGAGACAACAACGACGTCCAATCAAATGAGTACAATTCAGATAACAAGATCTCTACCGGCACCAAAGATGAGAAATAACCGAGTTGATGATCTAGAGAAAGAAAACCGCTTACTGCAGCAACAGCTTGAACTACAAAAACAGCTAAATGAACAAAAACAACAACAACAAATGCTGCAGCAAACTCAGTATTCTGATGTCTACCCTCCACCACCTCCGTCATACGATGTAGTTTACCCGCCCCCTCCAAACTAACTAACAACAAAAACAACAGCAAAAGCAACAACAACAGCAGCAGCAGCAGGAGATGATGAAATATGCAATTACAAAAACGAAAATGTTCATAAAAATATGAAATAATATTAAATTATATAAAATATGACATGAAAATATGATAATCAGTCCTAAAACTTTGATTTAAACTAAAATCATAAACAACCATACAATAGTCCTTGCATATGATGGCTTGTATTATGTATTTAATTTGTATTGTGTTATTACTAAAATTATTCTGGAAACGTTCACAAGTTTGTTTGTTTCATTCAACAGTATTTCAGTCATATAGGCGAGTAGTTTTCTAACCATCGTTCCTGAAGAGTTACACCAGTACTAAACTACCTTCCTCCGTGCTAAACTACCAAAGTATCTCCCAAGGATCGAACCCACGCCAGACAGGTAACTGGATCAGAAGTCATCGACTCTAAACCCTCGACCACGGAGGCAATTGGAAACGTTCACAAGATAAAAGCCACAAGATAAAAGCTGGATGTTGGAGGTATATGAACTTAAACAGAAACTGTTACAGAAACTATACATGTGGTTGACATAAATTACATTAAAGGGGTGAAGATTCGCAATGGCTTATTTCTGCAAACTTTTGTGCATAAAGAATCAACAAGATCTCCGTAGACCGATACAAAATTTTGTTATGTAAGTTAGTACTGTCATAGATGTCCACTTTTAGTTCTGTCAAGAAGACCAACACAAAAATGGATTTTCCACTTCATGTCATTAAATTAGATAGGTAGGACCTAAAAATTAATTATCAGGACCTTTATTCATTTCACGATGGAACAATACTATGAGATAGTAGTGAAAAAATTAAATAAGACAAGGTTAACATTAGCTGACACTATGTTCCGTAAGGGATAAGAGAGGAGGTATCTCAAGGCCAACGCAATCAAAAAAAATCTGCCGAAAAAAATCTTATCTGTTGTCATTTTTTTCAGTGACAGACAATGAAATATTCAATTTTTACATAGTTTGAAAACCATCATAATTATTAAGCTCTTTGTAAAAGGTTAGGCTTATAAAATAAAAATGCTAAGACAAAGATAGAACGTGCAATTAAAACACATTCCAAAACGAAACTTTTGTCATGAAAATACCTTAAAATACGGTTCATGAAAATTGATATTTTATATGTGTCATTATTATTGTTATCAAACTATCAAATACAAAAACGCCAATGAAAATGAATATAATAATATTCTTTGAATAATGCATTTTGTTTAATGATGGTAATCAAAATTTTATAATAATGATACATTTTTGTTTCAATATAAACAAGGATCTAGTTAAAGCTTACATGTCGCTTCCACTAGTTCAAACCAATAATATCAACTTAGTAAAATCAAAGGGCTATAAGCTCTGTGGTATTTTCTGATCTTTGCAATCTATATCGTAATGTATATCTGTATGTATTTTCCTGTATAAGTTTATTTTTATATACTACAATTCATCTTGCAGAGCAACGAGATGCAGCGACTGCGTTTAGAATTTTGTTAACTATAACAGTTTGAGTTTGATACATACGAAATTTTGCATGACTAGAATTGTATCAAAACATCATTTATGCTCATTTGTTTATGACAGTCACACTTTATCTATGCATATCTTGGCTACTTTCTTAAAAAAGACACAAAAAAAAAAATAAAACAATAAATAGTTGCCTCGACTTGGATTTGAACTCCAGACCTCTCACACTCTAAACCGGCACCACGGGAAGTTATACGAATACACCCTGAATAAAATCAATTAATTCTAAATTTAGAATTTCAATTTTTGGTTAGAAATCCTCATTCATTTCGAGGTATTTTGTTCACGATAAACCTGTTGTTTAACATTGATGCAAATAATTCAGCGAAAATCTTCTCGCCAGAACAGTCCGACATGTATATATTCCACTACTCGACAGTCAGATTTATTTGTGTAATAAATCGACATCGCAAAAAAAAAGCATTTTCATTGATTAAAATGATATTCATCCGCGTAATTTGTGATTGTGCATTTATTGACAATTCTATAAACCAACGTTACTTTTAAACTTTGAATACGTTGTAATTTGTTTGATACTTGTAACAAAATAAAAATTTGTCTTTCTTTTACATCGCTAGTTTTCAGCTGTTTTGAGAACAACTTGTTGTTAGGTTTGTCGTGAGGCTCTGTGCCAGAGATTGAATTTCAGCATTGTATTTCCTGGTCAGAAAATACAAAAACAACAACAGAAAACAACAATGAAACAAATATACACTTACATTCAAATTCAAACTAAGAATGTATGCTTCCGTCAATTGCAACCAGAACTTTCTTTCCAGAATTTGTTAGGGGCGTCCGTGGCCGAGTGGTTAAGGTCGTTGGCTTCAAACCACTTGCCCCTCACCGCTGTGGGTTCAAATCCCGACAAGGACTTTGGATTCTTTCATGTGAGGAAGCTATCCAGCTAGCTTACGGAACGTCGGTGGTTCTACCCAGGTGGCCGTTCGTGCCTGAAATAATGCACGGAAGGCCACCTGAGGTCTTCCTCCACCAGTAAAGCTGGAACGTCGCGATATGACCTATACTGTGTCGATGTGACGTAAAACCCAAACAAAACCAGAATTTGTCACTGTCTGTCCAGTGTCGGCCATTTTGTAAAAATGTCAGATCTAATTTGTTTAGACATGCGATTTATCTATAAATAAGGTACAGTGCCCTGGGCTGGTACCCGGATCTTAATGCCAAATGTATCAACATCTTTTTTAAACCTAAAATATACCGTACATAAAGCTATCTGTTCGATCATCGGCAATCGATAAATTCAACTTATCTTTTGAATTCCATACATAAATCCGTACTATAATTGTAAATCTTTAATAAATGGTGAAATACTTTTTAATTTGGATTGAAAGGTTGAAACTTTTGGGGTAAAACCTTGTTTCTGTTTAATGTAGTTCGAGCTCTTTTAAGTGTAAAATATTTTGTTTATAACGCTTATTGTTCAAATAATAGTTTAAAAGCGTATAATTAAAGTATTCATAGACCATATTAATACACAGACGCTTGGGGGTCAGATCCTGTCCCCCAACGTGATACGCCCCTGTAAACACTCTACCAAAACTATTTTAATATTTAAACACGAATGGTACATCTATTACAACGATAAAAATGGTTTTCAAACAATTTTTACATATATGAAAAAATTCCGTATACCATCAAGTCTCAATAAAGTAAAGATTGCAGACTCCAAAATGTAAACACGATAACCCTTGTATAATAAAACCTTTATAAATCATCATTATATGAACCTTACCGTGACTTTTCCGGTGTAAATCAATAGAAAATAGAATTATCTCCTAGATGCAAACAGAATAAACATTTATACATCTCATTGTAATATGAAAATCAACATTTAATTAAAACCGTTCTGTCCAACCAATACGAGACCTGATCCCGGCTCTGCGTGGAGCGCTTGTCAAGCCGGTATCCAAACGGTGTACATGCTTTCGACTAGATATCTACTCGAGCATTCTATCCTCATGTCCAAATTCAAATATTTAAATTGTACATTATATAGAATAAAAAAAAACTTGGGAAACAACACACTGTGCATCTTGGTAATAGTTTTATTACAAATAAATGTCTTTTTAGACAGCTAATACGCGGGACATGAGGATATAATGCTCGAGTAGATATCTAGTCGAAAGCATGTACACCGTTTGGATACCGGCTTGACAAGCGCTCCACGCAGAGCCGGGATCAGGTCTCGTATTGGTTGGACAGAACGCAAAATTTACTTTCGGTTTTAATTAAATGTTGATTTTCATATTACAATGAGATGTATAAATGTTTATTCTGATTGCATCTAGGAGATAATTCTATTTTCTATTGATTTACACCGGAAAAGTCACGGTAAGGTTCATTTAATAATGATTTATAAAGGTTTTATTATACAAGGGTTATCGTGTTTACATTTTGGAGTCTGCAATCTTTACTTTATTGAGACTTGATGGTATACGGTATTTTTTCATATATGTAAAAATTGTTTGAAAACCATTTTTATCGTTGTAATAGATGTCCCATTCGTGTTTAAATATTAAAATAGTTTTGGTAGAGTGTTTACAGGGGCGTATCACGTTGGGGGCAGGATCTGACCCCCAAGCGTCTGTGTATTAATATAGGATGCACACTGCCACTACTATATCATATATGGGTTTAACTGTGAGTTTTTTATTTGGCGGCGGTAACTTTAACCCTTAATGTCTTTACAAAGAAGTTATCTGGCACGAATAAGGCGTATGCATTACATTACAATACTAAATTATAATATGTTTCTAAATAAAATTAAAAAATGAACAAAACCTTTTAAGATCAAACATAAATAATTCAAAAAAGAAAGACAGAAAATAGCAACAACAAACTTATCTCATTATCCCGCTATCTAAGGCGGGACAGAACGAATGATATGCTTAAGGTCATCTGAACAATAAAATATTTGTTAAACAAATAATGCTATATAAATACACTTAATGTATTAACACAATTCCTTGTCTGTCATCTCTCAAATGATATATATCGAGTTACTGTGTGAAATATTTCAAACTCTTAAAACATACGGTAAATTTTGTTTAAAGTCTGCATGGAGGTGTGCATTAAAACATTTAAATGAACCTCGTTATCAATTTGTCAGCTCCTTACTGTGCTCATTAGAGTAGTCATATCTAAAATAATTATATGCTGATTTTCAGTTTAATTCTCATCTCTCTTATAAGTCTTATATCATTGAATACATTCTACCTGCCACTAACGAGTTTTAAATGAAAGAATTTATTGAAGAATGAACAGACGCAGACGCAAACAATTATCAGACCGAATTCAGTAGTTCCCCCTCTAAACCGAGTAAACCTCGACTTCACAAAGGCAAAGCACGTCACCCTGGTTGTGGATGATCTTCAGGAACTTTCCTGTCACGTGCTGAGCACATGGGATCTTTACAGGTAAAGACGACGATGCTGGGGGTCCGACGTAGTACGCGCAGTCAGTTCCGATATTGTTGTCTGAATCTTGTCGGGTAGCGGAAATCAGCAACCGCAAGTTCGAATTCCTGTAGTCTACAAAATAGAGAAATAAAACACAAATATCTTACACATATTTTGTAATGAAAACTTAACTGGGCATATACAGATCAAAATTAGTAATTTTGTTTTTGAAAGATCATAATCATAAAACTACTTACTGTGGTGTGAGGCATTCCTAAAGAAGATGATTACATGGGACACTTCTGCAAAACGCTCAAATTCCATCCCCCAATACGAATAGCGGTATGCAGAATGAGCACAGTATATTGCACGAGTCACCTTATTGTCGTTGTTGTCGCGGTTACCATCTATTGCAAAGCTTGCTACAAGTGGTCCAGTCACGTGAAAGTGTGTAGATTTTTGCCACGCGTTAACAGCAGGAACAAAACGATCTGGTACAAAATCATAAACACACATTTTTAATTCGGTTAGAATGAACATTTTTCAATAACAACAATGTTTAGACTAAATATATACGGCGCTGGTGGAAACTACAACATTTGGGACAAACAATGTTTCAAAAACTTAAAAAAAAAAAAATTATAATAATAATATAGATAAATGGAAGACTACCCTTGGTTCTCCGATATTTTCCAGATAGGATCGCAAATTTTGACCAAGGGTTAATAACCCGGTTATCCAAATTCAAGACAAGGTTTAGCATTTTAGTTGCTTTTCTTTCAGACAGGATGATTAGTCACATTTTTTCATGGAGTTCTTTAGGCAATTTTCACTAAATAAAATCAACGTTAGTTCATATCAATATCTGAGAGTTGATCGACATATTAGCCAAATTCCATGACCCTACTTTACCCAATGCCCCATGGTTCCGCATATAAAATTATTATCTGTGCAGTAATTGCTTTGCTTCACAATAAGTGGAATTTATTTTACACGCCATTGAGTTCATATTGGGACTTTCCAGCTTAACAGGTTGAAAATGACTTCGTCCCTTCGCGTGCATTTTTTTTTCAAAAACAAACTGGCACCTCTATTGAATCACCGACCGTCCGTTTCCTCATATGAAAGAATCCACAGTCTTTGACAGGATTTAAACCCACATCATTGACAGGAAAGTGATTTGAAACCGGTAACATAGGTCCCCCAGTTTTATATTTAAATTTCATGCATATGACAAATATACAATTAGATTAAGTAAAAGTCATTTCAAAAAATTAAGGTCTGCAAACGTGTTCTGAAAAGTAGAAACTAATATTCATAACTATAAGATTTGAATAAATCTTTTGCCTTAAAATACACACAACGGCGACATAGAGAAATAAAAAACATGTCTCTCTTTAAATGATTATCGGTACATAATAATACAGTCAACTGCCGTTATCTCGACATCGCTTTTCTCAATATTTCGTTATCTCGATGAAATTTTGAATTTTTCTTCCTTCGTTATCTATATTAGATATATTTGTTTATCTCTAAATTTTTATTTCGATATTTTCAGTATCTGATGTAACATTTCAGCCCCAACAGTTATTTACGCAATATTGTTTTTTGTTAATCTATACGTTTATCTCCTCATTTCGTTATCTCGATATTTTTGACGGTCCCGATGACGAAATAACGAGAGTCGACTATAAATAATAATTCAAAGGATACGTACCATCATAATAAACGTTCCAGTTGGATTCGGTTTCTGTTGAAGGTGTCACCACCCCAGGAACGTATGTTGTTAGTTCGCAAACACCCGTGTCCGCTTTGTGGTTAATAGAGGTACATTCATCCGCACAATTACATAATCTCGCACATTGTATTATGCTAGTGTTAAAATGTTGCACTAAATTATCACTATACCGTGCATTACTCGACGAGAGAGTAAACTGAGTGAACTTGTGGGTAAGGACTGTTTTGAATACAAAAAATATGACAAATTCAAGGATCCAAATCCACTTCTTCTCCTTAAACAACTGCATTGTGTCGTTTTAAAATTCAACCCTCTTTACTTTATAAGTGATTCGCTATCCTCCCGTCAACTGCAACAATTTCTTCTTTCAAACACAATAAGAAATTAATACACTGTATTTTAAATCATGTATGTGTAACGAAATTTCCCAAATAAAAACGAATTTCTAATTTCAGTTGAAAAGTTCTTTAATTGATGAAATTTAGAGCAAAGATAATTACACCATACAATTTCGATTATTCAAATAATTAGAAACTATTATTATCCGATTCTATTTATTCGATACAACCCTGGCTTTAAATCACAATTAATTTCCAACGACTAAAAAGTATCCTCTTCAAGTGTATGCATTCTAGTTTTATCTTTGATTGCAATTTCTTTTGACGAGGCAGCAATTTGAAAAAGCCTTCGGATCATACTTCAAATTGCAGAATGATGGTAACATTATATTTCAAAGTTTCACAATATGTATTGTTCAAGGACGCAAACAGATGTCTGATCCCATTCATTTACAAAGTGATTTCTTAGTATTCCTTGCTTTACGTGACTTCCGTTTGTAATGGCAAAATGCGTGCTCCGAGTCATACAAGTATGAACATTCATAACAATAAATTTCAAATACCAATTGACATTACGCAAGTAAAGGTATCGCTTCGCCCACCGATTCACGTTTAAAAACAATATCTTTTTCGAAATATATCATAAATTCTTAGTGGAGTAGTTATATGTTTTTACAAGGTTCATTTGAGGAAGTATAATCAAATGATGAAAATATTGTCATTGAATTTCACATCGTACCGTCTGAAACCCGCGAGAAAAATGATCACGTAATGAAATTAGTTTTGTTACGTTATCCTTCACATAGAAAACTGTCTCTTTAAACTGTCATTGGTTGCATCTTAATTGATGAAGTGTATATAGCGTTTTGATTTTCGTTGAATTCACACAGATTATCCAACAGTGACAAAAAGAAGCAATTGTAAATCATTATGAATTAAGTTTCGTGATTGAAATTAAAATCGCACAACATTTCATTTTGCTGAATCTGAAATTTAGATAGTTAAACGTGCTGAAGCACAAATTCCGTTAACACTATTTTACAAAAGTTGTCTTTCTTTTTTAAGTAAGTATCTTTTGTTTTGGTTATTATGAACGACGTCAACATAGTTTGAAAACAACTGTCTATATATCCATTAAACTAATCGTGTGTTGGTCCTGCTTGGCTCCTTGTCAGTGGTCCGGTGTTGCTGGGTCGTGTGGCGGTTGCATTTGGTTAAACGCCGCCGTTCCTTGTTGATCTTGTTTTTCATATTTTACAATTTCCAAATATTTTTCCAAATAGTAATGTTTACGGCAAAAGTATAACATTAATTATTGCTATCCGTTTGGCGGTTTAACTAAAAGTCTAAGAGGACAACATGTATTTTAGAAATTATGGAAGTACACTGTAGTACTTTGAAATATTCATCAATTTGTCAAATATTTGTTGGAATTAATATCGTTCACACTTCTTAAAATTCAGTCCGACTAATTCACTTTTCTTATATTCTATAGTGATGTTTGTTGTCTGATTGTTAAGGCTTTACGTCACACAAATACAAAATAGGTCATATGGCGGCATTATAGCTTTGACGGTCTAGGAAGACTTCTGGCTAGAACAACCGGCGTTCCGTAAGTTAGCTGAGTAGCTGTCGTACAGGATAGAATCCAAAGTACCAGGTGGTGAGGGAAAGTAGTTTGAAGTCAACGACATAAACCACCACTCGGCCACTGAAGCACTCAGAAAGAAGGAGTTTTAGATTTGTTTTTAGTTATAATATTTTATTATTTAATGAGCGGTCTTTGATATTTATGTTTGACAAACTTCCGAAATATTTTATCACAATTGTGTCATCAGTTTTATATAAAATGCTTAAGTGTTTGTATTATGTATACATGTACATGTGTTTTAACCTTAATAAATATCTATCTATCTATCTAAAAGTCTAAGAGGACAACATGTATTTTAGAAATTATGTAAGTACACTGTAGTACTTTGAAATATTCATCAATTTGTCAAATATCTGTTGGAATAAATAACGTTCACACTCCTAAAATTTCCGTCCGACTAATTCACTTTTCTTATTTTCAATAGTGATGTTTGTTGTCTGATTGTTTAGGCTTTACATCACACAAATACAAAATAGGTCATATGGCGGCATTAAAGCTTTGACGGTCGAGGAAGACTTCTGACTCGCTTCGTAAATTATTTTAGGCACGAACGGGCACCTGAATAGAACAACCGGCGTTCCGTAAGTTAGCTGGGTCTAAGCTGTCTTACAGGATAGAATCCAAAGTCCCTGGTGGTGAGGGAAAATAGTTTGAAGTCAACGACATAAACCACCACTCGGCCACTGAAGCACTCAGCGGTAAAAGACAAGTGACTATTGGACGCTTGGCATTTGGAAATTATCTTATCAGTTTTTCTTATGAATCTTGCGTTATTTCAATAAGAATAAAGTGATACTCAAAGTTACAAATGCGTCGCAATAACAATTATGTTTTGTATTGCATAAACGAAGCAAAAAAAACAACAAAATTTGTGCTACATATGTATTGCTCTATTTTCTAGATATAAGATAATGAATGCACGGTCAACAAGCGAAGTCTAGAAAATTTCGTAAAAATTGTTAGAGGTAATTTGTTATTTGTTCCTTAAGTCGGTCAGTAAATCTAAGCAAACACTTTCAATGGCAATTTAATGTGATATTGAACGATGAAATGGTTCTCAGTAGTGTCCAACATCGATGTAGACACTCCAAAAATCTGTTTTTCGAACGATACCAATTTAAACTACTTGTCTCGAAATGAAGACACGAAAACTAGCATTTTAGATAACTAAGTACAGATGTACGTGTTAAATGTCTGTGTTTAAATTTTCCGGAATTTGACTAAAGTTAAGCAAAGACAATATGATGGCGGAAAGAAATTGATTAGTAAATAAAATTCACTACAATGATTTGAAACTTTCCTCAAAAATATTGCTCTACCATAATTTGAAAACAATTAATGTTTTGAAATATCAAAATATATTTGAGCCGCGTCACGACAAAACCAACATAGTGCGTTTGCGACCAGCATGGATCTAGACCAGCCTGCGCATCCGTGGATAAGTTTTTTTGGTTCCCATAGGCTATCTCTGATAGCCCCATCTACCTTCATTTATTACATACAAATAAAACGTAACTGTTCGGTTTTGCAAACTATGATAGATATGTATTGCAGAGTGAAAAAAGCTAGTTCCTGTTAGTCTTGATTGACAGAATTATTTAAAAAAAATAATGACACAAGAATAGTAAACAAAACAGTAATATTAAACATATTCAGGTTAAATGATTTGCATTTGTTTAATTTAAACTATTCAATATAATACAGGAAAGTAATATAAGTACGACATACTCGTAGCATACATGAATGTCTTGTAAACATCTTTTGCGTATATCTTTAATCAATAATGAATAATTTACATTCAAATATATTGATTTTCAACAACAAAATCTTGACTTTGCTCGAAGCAATTTGTTCTTACACAAAAGAACGATGTTTTGAAAGGGAAAAAATTGCACGTTTGTCATTTCCTTATTTATTATTGCTCAGAAAACAAGAGATCTAAATAGTGACAAACATTATTTTAAAATCGCCGTGGCATTTCAATAATCTTTGGTTTTAAATTATATGAACTCCATTAAGGTCCGAATATTTACAAAGAAAAATCTTGAAAATCTTACATATATCATCTAGGATTCTTTAAAAGGACGGGAATATATGGTTTCGTAAGACTATAATATTGATTTAATCGCCATTTATTTGCATAATTTCTACACACAAGTTCTGAGATCTTTTGAAAAATACGAAAGTGACTTATAATATATCAAAAAAAGCTTTTAAATTGGAATTTATGCTAATATCGCAGTTTGTAGACGTATATTATCAGAAATTTATAATATTTATTGTCAAAAATAATCATTATGATAATTTCTATACTGTATATCATCCTGTCGCTCACAGAGAACAATACGAAAGTGATTTATTCGGACGAGAGGAAATGTATAAAAAAAAGTAGCGTTTAAATTGAATTTGCAGTTTGTAGACGTATATTATGAAAACTAAATTTTTTTGGTTGATTTTTTTTAAATCATTAAGAGGATTTAACCTTCATTTATTTGCATAATGTTTATACATTAGCTGAGACATCTATGATCGCTCTTTCGCTCATTGTGAACCTGACGAAAGTGACTTATTGAATATCAAATATAGCGTTTAAATAGACTTTAAAATTGCAGTTTGAAGAAAGTACAGAATAAACAAGTTACATTTATATATTTTGTATAAATATTACTGTATCATGAAGATCATTATGTCCCGATTTTCAGAGAAAACATAGCTTCAGCATGTTTTGTCCTATGATCATTAAAGTTGGTAGGCAAGTTGATCATCATTCATAGATGAACCCTATTGATCTTAAAATCAGTAGGCCAAAGGTCACTAACAGAATGTATGAAGGGGGGGGGGGGTGATATATCGTGTTCTACGAACTTTTGTTCATAATATATACACACAGTGCAATTTTTGTGACCTCGTGTACATAAAATTTTCATGTATGATCGCCACATTTGTAACTATGCAAGATTAAAGGAAGTTAGAATTCATTTTTTCCTTAGATATGGCCCTTCCTAACTTTTTATACTGTATACATATTTCACAAGTTGTGTAACTTCAATTACTGACTTTAACAAAAATTCCACTGCATGCGTATAAATATTTAACTTGTCCTAGAATAATTCACATTTTGATAATTAGCTTACAGTACATGCAGTGACCAATGAAATATCAGCCAGACATCATTCATTAACAATGCAAGGGGTTTTAAAAGTTATCTTTCATAACACAAGTTATTTATAAAATCAGAACATTTTACCAGTAAGCTGAGTTGATATAATGTATTGTTTTAAAAACCATATGAGGAGTGGCAGGCTATCAAATGTTTTGAAGGATTAAAATTTGCCGCTGAAGAAAAAGTCAAATAAAATGGACAATGCTATTTTATACAAATCAATAAATGATTAAACAATATTTTTCCTGTATATTCTCTACAAAATATTTTTCCTGTAAACTCTATTGAAAAAAGTTTCTAAGTG